CGCCGCCGTTGAAGAGACCGTAGCCGTTGAGGCAGTTTTGGACGAGGCTGCTGATGGCGCCGCCGAGGTCGATGCCACCACCACCGCCGCCCCACGTGGCGCGCAGGTTCTGGGTCTCGCTGGCGGCCGTCGTCGAGTCGATGCACTGGAGCACGGCGAGAGCGCAGACGGTGGTCTTGATCATGGTCTTCATGGTGGAAATTGGAAAGTGAGCGCTTCCTGGCCGTCCCATTCCATGGATCGGACCTCATGCATGCAACATATGACGAACCCACGTGGTATTCTTCTGCAGCGACGGATCGAGCGGCCCGATTTTCTGGATCACACATTCGATCCTGTCGCATTCTTCTCATCCTGCGCTGGCTCATTCCATTCGATCCGTCCACACAGCCTCGAGACTTTCCACTACTGGTACATGGAATTGTAGTCTTCGCAATGCGGTGTCGACCATCTATCTATCTATCTATCTATCCATCTCGGGCCATGCATTTCAAGCAAGTCCGTCTCAACAACCATGTACAATCATATTGTGTTCTTGTTGGTGAAGTGGGTCTTCTTGATGTGTCTCTTATCAGTGCTTCATCGGTATCGTGTGCGCCAAGTGCTGCAGCGACGGGTCATCTCGAATCTCTCGTCGCTCCTTGCCAATCGCGACGATGTGCTTTCGCCACGTTTTGATGTCGAGCATGAAGACGCGGTCGCCCCACTCGAAGGAAAGGAGGCCGTTGATGACTGCCGACGCCTTGTCGATGCAGTACACATCACGGTGCTGCCACCGCGCCTTCTTGAACTGGTAGTTGGCGGCCGCATACAAAAAGAAAGAGCTGCCTTGGGGTCGCGCCAGCTGCGGGAACCGAAGGCGCTCGACGACGTAGAGCACGAGTACAATGCCGCACACAAGCAAGTTGAGCGCCAGAAACCGCTGGACGCTTCCAATTTTAACGTGGCCGCCGTGGCAAATGGCTTGGGCGTCGACGGCGACAACGACGCATCGTCGCTCGATCTGCACGTGGTGGGTGATGGGCGACGCAAAACTCCAAATCGCAGAGGCGACCCAGACCACGATCGCCGACTTGGACGAGTAGCCCGAGGTATATTGCTGCGTGAGGAGCGAGAAGGCGTCGTTCAAGATGAAGGCCAGCCACGTGAGCTCGCCCGAGGCCGTGATGGTCGTGTACCATGGCGCACGCACAGACTCGAAGCGGAAGTAGCCCGCCATTTGCATGAGCTGGAGGCCCGACGTCGAGAGGAGGCAGATGGCCGTCATGCTGCGTAGAAACAGCAGTGGGCGACCGATCCAGACAAGCCCGCCGACCCGGTTGACAACGAGGAGATTGCTCGCTTCAATGTACCCGCCGGCCGTGACGATATAGATCGACGCCATGAGCGTCACGAGTCCGAGGACGATCGTGATGTACTGCACGACCCGCTGAAAGTACGTGGCCACATTGGCGGGGATCTCCATGCCATTGACGGGCACGCGGGCTATCGCGTTCCGACCCGAGAAGGTCGTGATGCGCCCGACGCTGCTCTCAAAAACCACAACTTCCCGCACGCCGTGGACCCATTCGATGAGGTACAGCCACGCAAAGTACTCGTACGAGCTCGAGATCGTGTCAAAGAGCCGGCCTTGCGCCAAGAGCGGTGGGCCGCTCCCATAGACGCCCGCGCCCAGACTCACGTTGAAGCTAATGTACTGCGCGAGCGCGACCGGGTAGTTGGTTTCCATCTCGGCGCGCACGCCCGCGGCGAGTGCGGCGAGGCGCGTGCGGTTCACCGACGGGACATGCGCGTCGAGATACGTTAGAATGCCATGGAGCAGCTCCAGTGTCTTGCCGCCGTCGACCGCGATCCCATCGATGTCGTCCATCGCCGACGCGGTGAGCGCGCTTCCCATGGCCGCAACCGCCATGGTCGCACTCATTGTACTGACACCGAGGAGGTCGTTCATGTGGGCCATGCACGACCCGCCGAGCGTAAAGAACGTGAGTACCGACGCATCGGACGACGTTTGTGTGTCGCAGAGAAGGTTGCCGCCGTAATAGTCGGTCGCGTTGGGCCACGGACTGGGCGTGTACTGGTTCGGGCTCTGGAGGACTTCGAAAGCGTGCAGGGCCGCGTCATGGGCCGTGACCACGAGCGTCAATGACGCGTGCGACGTCTCGTACCACTGCTTGACCACATCTGGGCACGGCAATCGACGCAGATCCACCTCGCCAAACGGGCCGATGCTCGAGTGAAAGAGCGCGAGGCCGAGCCCCAGCGGGTTCGGCAGCGACCCGTTCTGCATGAGCACATCGGTGGCCGAGACGTTGGTGTAGGCGAACGTGGGTGTGCCTTTAATGAGGCTGCGGCCGCCAAGCGCTGTCGCATTGTTTCGCACGAGACTGAGCGAGAACGCGAGCGGCGTAAACATCTTGTACGAGGTTTGCGTGCCGAGTTGCAGCGTTGCGTTTGAGCTTTTGAGTTTGAGCGCATACGCGAGCCCAAAGGCATTGTGAATCTCAAATGACTCCATGACGCCGAGCGCCTTGTAGTTTTGCCATAGCGTGGTAAACGTTAAAAGCCCCGCACGGCGCCACGTCACGGCCTCGTCTTCGGAGGAGCGCGGCGCCAAATTTGCTGCGTGCAAAGCGGACGTCCATTGCTGCCCCGCGCGCGAGCTCTGCAGCGGCACAAAGACGCTGCTGTTCAAGGCGTCGCCCCAACAGAGCGAGAGCGATGTCCACTCTGCGTTGCGCAGCACCGACTCGAGGTAGATGGCTGCATTTTGGCTTTGGCGGGCGCACGCGGCTTCGCGATCGGACGACGCGGCGAGCGACCAGGTGCGGCCCCAGTCGACAAAGCAGTAGGACGTGGCGATCCACGGCAGCGCGCAGCCGTCCATGCTGCGCAGACTGTCAATCACAGGGACGAGCGAGTTGATTTCGTCTTGAATCATGTTGGCGTACAAAATCGGGACGTTACTAGCGGTCGCGGACGTGTTGTACAGATTGTCATTCGAGTAAAAGACCGCATTATCGAGCGACGGCGACGCGTCCGAAAGATTCGTGACCACTTGGAGTCGGTCGTTGAACCAGTTGGTCATGTACGTTTGGGAGCCCGTGGCGTTAAAGTACGCCCACCAAAAAGTCGTTGCTCATGGCAAACTGGGAGAGGTACAGGAACGAGTAGCTCCCCACGAGCGACGCCGCCATGTAGAGGAGGCCAAGCGCGGCCTGCACCCGCATCGTTGTGCGCGATGGT